AGGGACAGAAGGCTCCCGTCATGCTCTTCATTCCGTCTTCCTGCCTGGCCAGCTCCCAGGAGTAAGGGCAGCCCCTGTGCACTTGTGAGAGGGCCTGTGTCCGCTCTCCCACGGGTCCCCTAGAGCGCCTGTGCTCACAGCCATGGCGGGGACCATCCCTCCTTGCTGCGTCCTGCTTAGAGGCGGGCCAGCCCACGTCCTCTCCCTTGCCCTGTGTCCTCGGGCCCAGCCACCAGCATCACTGTTGATCCAGGACCAGAAGAAGAAGCCAGGCTTGCAGAAACACGGCCTCTGCATCCTGCTCCTCTTGCCATGCCTGGAGCCTTGGTGACCAGCTCGCTAGGCCTGCTCCGCGCTCATCCTCTGGGGAAGCGTGACAAGCATAGAGACCCTGTGGCTTCGCAGCCAGGACGACTCCCCAGCCCACCCTCCATGCCGGGATGTGGCTGGGGCTTGGCAACTGGACTCGTGTTTTCTCTCTCAGCTACACACGGGCTCATGGAGTTCTCACAAAAACCCAAGGAAGTGCCATTGTTTCTCCTCCTCTTACAGACGGGGAACTATGGCCCAGGGAAGCTAAGTAACTTGTCCCAGCCGGGACAGCCTCGTCCTCCCAGCTGCTTCCTGGGCACCCTCTGGGTAGGGCTTGCACAGGCCCGAGGGCCCGTGGGGGAACTGGCTGCACGTCAGCTCTCTGAAGCTGTTCCAGCTCTGAGTATTTCACTGGTAGAGCCTATTGCTCCTGGAGGGAGAGAGGGGCCGTTACTTGTTCTTGGGGGCCCTGCCGCCTAGCCAGAGTCAGGTGCCACCGTGCATGGGAGCTTTCCCTTGGGATGCGCTCTCAGTGGCAAGCTCCTCTGAACAGCTGTAGCCTCTGCTCCCCCATTTCATTCTTAAGTCTTCTCAAGTTGTGTATCCATGCAGAGCAGTATGATGTTCCTCAGGGTCCACCATGATGGGCTTGCATAAGGTGAATATCTTGGCTACAGCACCTGGCCAAGACGCAGAACGTTCTCGGCTCCCAGCAACACCTCCCTCCCTGTCCCCTCTTTACCCATGGAATTAGCGGGGGGGAAGTTTCTCGAGCTGCAATGCTCATACTGTGAAATTCACCCATGTGAAGCGTACAGTTCGATGGCGAGCCGTGTATTTACGGAGTCACGCAACAGTCACCGCTGTCTAACTCCAGGGTGTGTTCCATATCTCAGGAGGCACCTGCGCCCAGTAAGCTGCTCGCTTCCCCCATGTCTACCAACCCCAGGCCACTGTCTCTGTCTCCCTGTGGATTTGCCCATTCTGGGCATTCCCCATAAATGGAATCACGCAGTGTGTGGCCTTTGTCCGACTTCTTTTGTGTAGCAGAATGGCCTAGTGTCTCTGCTGTTCATCTGTGTTGCAACATGTAGTCAGTACCTCCTTCCTTCTTAGGGCCAAACACTGTTTCATTGTGTGGATAAACTATTTTATCCCTTCAACTGGTGGTGGACAGGCAGATTGTTTCCACCTCTGGCTGTTGCGAATAGTACTACTGTGGACACAGGTATGCACATTTTTGTGTGGACACTTAGCATCAGCGAGTAAGGCTGGAGTTCGGTTTCTGATCCATTTTGAGTTTTTTTTCTATATGGTGTGAGATAGGGCCCAACTTCAGTCTTTGCATATGGATCTAGTTGTCTTAGCACCCTTTATTGAAAACTATCCTTTCTCTCATTGGAAGGTCTTAGAATCCCTGTCAAAAATTGGGCTGACCCCACAGTGTAGTAAAGGGAAGCTAGAGTCCACGTGGCCAACTGCAGTTGAGTCCCAGCCCTAGTGGCCTGAAATACATGCCAGGCACGTACTCATGCATGCTCAAAACTCCCTACATCATGAAGAAATGGCAAAGGGAATTCAATGTGACTGCACCCCAGTGGGGGAATCTTCCTCTCTCTCCCTTTCTTTCTCTCTGGTGAGTGTATGTGCCTTCTGTCAAATTTTTAAAACTTAATTTCCCATAGGTACGTGGTTTATTCTTCATGTTTGTTCATTTTTAGTTTTTGCCGTAGGACGCATGCACTCATCAGAGAGAGAAAGGAAAAGCGAGAAATCGCTCCCTGGAGATGGTCACACTAGAGTCCCTTCTCCATTCTCCTCTCAGGATTTTAGGTTGCACCCTGCCTATTTTTCAAGCTGTCAGGTCTGGGACACAAACTGCTCAGTCGTCAATGTGGGATCCAGCTGTCTTAACCACCATGCCACCAGCTGGCCTGATACATGGCTATTTCTACACCTCAGTTTTGTTCCATCGACCTCTGACCATCCTGTGCTGGTGCTACAGCATTGCACTGCTGCAGCTTTTCCCCTTTAGTCATGAGAGCATATCAGTGAGAGGGAGAGAGAGAGGGGGAGGGAGGGAGAGGGAGAGAGAGAGAGGGAGGGAGGGAGAGGGAGAGAGGGAGAGAGGGAGAGAGAGAGGGAGAGAGAGAGGGAGGGGGAGAGAGGGAGGGAGGGAGGGAGAAGTACCCTCCGTAGTGCCTGGTCCCACCCCAGCCCCCTTCCCCCAGTCCCCAGTCTCCCAGCTTGTCGGATAGCCTGGGCATTTGCACATGTGCCCAGTGCATTTCAGGCAGCTGGGCTGTGGATCTGACCCATGGCCCCCGTGCGGATCGGCTTCTCCTAAGCAGAACTTACCACTGTGCCAGAATTGGCCCTGGTTACTGTTACTTTTGCTAGAGGGAATATGAGTCTTCCAACTTAGTTTTGCTTAGTTTTGCAGATTGCTTTGGCTTGGGGTCCCTTGCAGCCACATATGAACTTCGGGATCAGCTTTTTCCATTTCTGTAAGAAAGGCCACTGGGACCTGGCTAGGGATTACAGCGGGCTGTAAGTGACTGCTGTGGGAACATTTGCCTCATCCAGTCCACAGCACAGATGTCTTGCCGTTTATTTAGGACTTTCATTTCTTCCTTTTCTTTTTTTTCTTTTCTTTTTTTTTAGGTTCTTGCCTTAGGGTGCATACACTCACGAGAGAGAGACAGTGAGAGGAAAAATCACCCCCCACTCCCGCCATGAGGGATGGCGACGCTGTAATCCCTTCTCCTCCGGTTCCCTCCCAGGATTTTGGACATGCACACACACCTGGCATGATTTCCAAGCTTCCAGGTCTGACACTTAAACCTTGGTCAACTCCCAGCTTGTCGGATAGCCTGGGCATTTGCACATGTGCCCAGTGCATTTCAGGCAGCTGGGCTGTGGATCTGACCCATGGCCCCCGTGCGGATCGGCTTCTCCTAAGCAGAACTTACCACTGTGCCAGAATTGGCCCTGGTTACTGTTACTTTTGCTAGAGGGAATATGAGTCTTCCAACTTAGTTTTGCTTAGTTTTGCAGATTGCTTTGGCTTGGGGTCCCTTGCAGCCACATATGAACTTCGGGATCAGCTTTTTCCATTTCTGTAAGAAAGGCCACTGGGACCTGGCTAGGGATTACAGCGGGCTGTAAGTGACTGCTGTGGGAACATTTGCCTCATCCAGTCCACAGCACAGATGTCTTGCCGTTTATTTAGGACTTTCATTTCTTCCTTTTCTTTTTTTTCTTTTCTTTTTTTTTAGGTTCTTGCCTTAGGGTGCATACACTCACGAGAGAGAGACAGTGAGAGGAAAAATCACCCCCCACTCCCGCCATGAGGGATGGCGACGCTGTAATCCCTTCTCCTCCGGTTCCCTCCCAGGATTTTGGACATGCACACACACCTGGCATGATTTCCAAGCTTCCAGGTCTGACACTTAAACCTTGGTCAACCACGTGGGAGTCCAGTACTTCAGCCACCCCACCACCTGCCGGCCCCAGGCTTTAATTTCTTTCAGCAATGTTTATAGTTCTCAGTGCTTGAGTCTTCTGTACCTCCTTGGTTAACTTTATCCCTGGTTATTTTAGTATTTCAGATACTATTGTAAATGGAATTGCTTTCTGATTTTAAAAAATTTTTGCATTATTTTCATGTGTTGGTTTTGTAGCCTTTTGAGTTTGCTGAATTCACTAATAAGTTTGGGGGAGATTCCTTTTTTTTGCCCATTTTAAAAATGATTTATCTACACAATTTAAAAATTGTGCATTCTAATATTTAAAATCATTTGAACAACAACAAGAAAATGGCACTCGGATTAAACTGCTCTTGAGAGCCTGCAGGACACCTTGGGCCAGCGTGGTTTTTACCCCACATTTCACTGTGGCCCTCCCCGCTTCTTCCTTCACCAACATCAAGTTCTCCTTCCCTGCCAGCCAGACCGGCAGACTGGAGAGGCAGGCACCGTTGTCACCACCACTGGTTCTCATCTGTGATGTGGAAGGGGCAGCACAGCCAGTTAAACTTGATCCAGCCTCTTTGCATCTTACGAAGTTAAAGAGCTAAAAGAAGCAGAATGAGCCGGCAGGTGCATTGGAATGCGCGTATTGGCGGCTCATATGATTCTCCTGCTTGTTTCTCCTTTCAGTCGTTTCTTTGGAAGGCAGTGGATTTTTCTCTTGCGTTTCTGTCTTCGTCAGTTTTGACTTGGGGATTTCTCGATCTCAGGCAGTTGGTTTGTTGGACATGGTTGAGGAGGAAGCGGAGCGAGGCACCCTAGAGAGTGAAGTCTGGTCTATGGGTGGCCACTGCCGAATCCGGGGCCTCCCTTTACTGTGTTCTATATGTCCAACTGTGTCACTAGCAGATTGAGGTGTTTTCCTTTATTCTTTCCAGTTTGGATGTCCCTTACTATTTCGTTTTCTTGCCTAATTGCTTTGGCTGGAACCTCCAATACAATGTTGAGTAGAAGAGAGAAAGAGGGTACCCCTATTCTGTCAGAATGGGATTTGCAGGCACAGTGCTGGGCTCAGAGAGGGACTCTGTGGCCCCTTCAATCTCCTGTCCCAGGCCTCGGTCTGCGCCCCTCGCGGGGGTCGCAACCTAAAACAGAAGTCCCTCCTTCTGGCCCACACCTCTGGCTCAGCCTCTTCTCCCTCTGCTCCATGCCCCACAGAAAAAGAGCCGGAATGAGACATATGGCGAAGGCAGCGGCGTGGAGATCCTGGAGAACCGGCCGTACACGGATGGCCCCGGCGGCTCCGGGCAGTACACGCACAAAGTGTACCATGTGGGCATGCACATCCCCGGCTGGTTCCGCTCCATCCTGCCCAAGGCAGCCCTACGGGTGGTGGAGGAGTCCTGGAACGCCTACCCCTACACCCGAACCAGGTGCGCTGGCCTCACCTCCGTGGCCTTCCACCTCCCCTTGCTATCTGTCAGGAAGAGACCTTGTGTGGGTCCAGGGACAGGGGCTTTCAGGCAGGCTCAACCCACCACCACCACCACCACCACCACCACCACCCCCCGTACTCCAAGGAACGCAGGCTCTGTCCTAGGCAGAGGGCTTCTGGGGCAAGCACAGGCAGGAGAGAGCAGGGTACACCCCGAAATGCCTCCCCAACTACCCACAGGCCTGGGCCAAAAAGGCCCCAATTAGGTGAGGGCAGTAGAGACCCCCTTGCCATCCAGGAAGGCTCAGGAGTGACACTCACTGTGTGTTCCCCTGAGGAGTCCAGGACAGTCTCTGGGAAGAAACATGAATGAGGATAGACCAGATGGCCCAGAGGTCCCTCCATCTCAGACTTGGCTGCATGGGTAGCATCTTGCCACATCCCTGCTAAGCAGGGTTGTTCTTGAGAGGCCCCATAGGGCTCTTCGTCGTGCCCACCCCGCCCAGTGTGCAGCTCAGCACTGCTGCACTGGAGAGATAGAGGGCAGGTGGGGTCTCTGGAGACCCTTTCCTGGGGCTCCTTCTTTCCACACACTGTGAGCACCTGAGCTGACTGGAGGGTCCATGGAGGGGGGTCCTCTTCCCAGAAGCATTTCCCCCTCCAAGCTCACCCCCAGCCCAGAGAGGAGGGCGGTTCCCTGTCCCAGAGCTGGCCATGCAGGCATGCTGGGCCCAGACCCCACCGACCAGGTAGCACACTGTCAGGGCTGTGCCTGCGTCCCCACCGCCATGCACACACAATGAGCATGGAGCTTGTGGGAGCCACCCAGGAGGCCAGGCAGCTCCCTGTCCCCCTAATCCCAGCTCCTCCTCACCCTGGCCTTGGCTGTTCTCGGGACACAGTGACATCCCAGCACGTCCCTGCACCTCCCACCTCCTCCCAGTTGTCCCCTACTCAGAGGGGTCCAGCCACCTCTGGGCCTCCCCACACACGGCTCTGACAGGACTTGTCTCCCTACAGGTTCACCTGCCCCTTCGTAGAGAAGTTCTCCATCGACATCGAAACCTTCTACAAGACTGATGCTGGAGAAAACCCCAACGTGTTCAGCCTCTCTCCCGTGGAAAAGAGCCAGCTGACAATTGGTGAGGAGTCGGGCGGGAGCCGTGTGGGGCCGTGACCTGGCCCTGTCCTGGGGGACGGAGCAGAGTCCATCCTGCCTGGAAGGTCTGGCGCCTCCTCACCCCGTTTTCCTGGTGTGCACAGCTAGCCCAAGTGCCTTCCGCACCTGCAGCCCCTTCCGTCTGTCTCTTCAGGATGCCCCCCGACAAGGTCACGTGGGGGGGGATACGTTCCTGGGGCGCTGTCTCTGCTGACAGCTGTGTATGAGTCCCAAGGCCCCTGGACGGTGGGCAGCCTCTCCTCCACTTCCAGCGGACAACCGTGCAGGAAATGGGCTTTCTCTGTTAAGATCTGGTTTATGAGGGCCGACAGGTAGCATGGTGGTTAGGGTGCTGGACTCCTACATGGCTGACCATGGTTCGAGTCGCAGACCTGGTGGCTTGCTTTCTCACTTTCTCTCTCTCTCTCTCTCTTGCTCACTTGCTCTGTCCCTCTCTGATCAAGTTAAAATAAATAAAGTTAAGTAAAATATTTAAAAAAAAAAAAAAAACGTTTCCAATTTTTATTTTTTCAAGG